CTGTAATGTTATTTTCTCTGTAATTACATTATTTGCAATTACATTACCTGTAATCACATTGCATTGTAAAGTATCAAACGCCACCTTAGAGTGTTGAACTTAATCTTTGACAATATTTTTTGTAAAAGTTGTGTTTGAGCCTTCAAAAGGTATTTTTTATAGTAGATTTGAAACTCTTTAATAAGTGAAGAGAAAAGACGTAAGTAAGGAGATCGAATCTTTATAAAAAATATTGGGAGCAAGCTATTTTCTTCTTTCAAACTTTTATTACTAAAATTTAGTTCCTCACGAAAGGTTCATTGCTTTATTCAAATTTTCAAAGAGAAATTTTTAAACTATCAAGTTCAAATATTTTCTAGTGGTCAAAATGTTTGAAGTTTTCAATTCACCTATCTTGGAATTCCATTACTTGAGCTTATTGTACTAACGCAGACCAATCTCCAGAACTATCAGCAAGCCTTGCGCACACCAGCTGCCCACTATTAGGACATGTGCATGCTGACGGCCCAGATAGCCTAGGCAAACTAGCAACCCAGGTAGATCAGCCTGGGCAAACCAACAGCCTAAGCAAAAGGCTCAACCTACCTACGAGGAGCAAAAGTATCTACAAAACTTGAATAGAGTCTTGTTTGATTTGAATTCTTGGATCGATTGATGTATTTTTGAATTTAAATTTAGATTTCATTTGCATTCAAATTTGATTGTATTAGCTCAAATAACAATATAATTTCATAAATATTTTGAAGAAGAGGTAAATTGAAATTTTTGAAATTTTTTTCAAGTTGATAATTGTAAATGTGCAATAACTTGAAAAAGAATGTGCCTTATTTATACCTAAACACTAACCTAAGTCATTTGCAAGCATATATGCTGATACACATATGCATGGAGTTGCTTTCGTGTCTTATCTTTTGTTTTCCAACCAATTATTTTCAATTTATTTATTAGGACCATTTACTTATTTGCAAAACATATAATTATTCACTTATAAGACTTGTATATTGATCAAATCTTGCTAATTGGTGAGTGTATCCAAAATTGTTTATTCAAAATATATATATATATATATATGTATATAAATCAACATAGAAATTATCCATCATAGAAAAACATACATAAATCAACGGGAATCGCCCCATAAGAAAGCCTCCTCCATTGCTCTTATAATCGAGATCAACTCTCCTGCAAATAGGTCAGTTGCAGCTACATTTGAGGCGTTGTTATTGCTTATAGAAGATGCATTCTGTCTAATGCGCTCGCTAAGCACAAATCTGCACACTGGACATTGGCCATGACTCTTCACCCATGGGACGATACATTCCTCATGGAACATATGGTCACAAGGAGTGAGCATGACTTGCTCTCTAGGCTCAAAATCTTCCAAGCAAATTGCACACCTCTTCCCATCCTCGTCTTTCTCTCTTTCCTTCTCATTATACAAGTTGCTTCTGTTTTGATCCCGGTAGTACATGCTTAACCTCCGTGTCATCTGCTTGGGGATAGGATTGTAAATTTCCTTCTTCAGCTTACCTAAAACATTGCTTTGCTCGTCTTGAGTCGATCTGGAATGTTCTTGTTGGGCAGGGGCAGCTGGGAGCTGTACTTGCTGGACTGTGAACCTTTGAAGGGGTCCTGAGAACCTGGGATTGGCCGCCCTTGCTGGGACATTGTCAAGCCATACAATTTGAACTGGAGTACGAGTACGTGGAAGATCTGGGAAACTGCAGTATTGTGTTGGTTATGGTAATTACAAATCAACTAAAATTGGAAAGTTATGCAATAAAAATTGATGATTGCAAAGAACTTGCATAAATATTAGAGCAAATGCTACTTCTGCCGGTCAAAATTTAGATCAAGTTATCATAATCTTAACACTGGTTCTTTCACAAATCATTTTCACAGCCTCTACAACGTATAAAATTTCAGATTGGCTGAGAATAAGCCGGAAGCTAGAAAGGAAATCACATCTCATTTGCTCCTACCGTTAAAGTGGGCTGACTTGGTAGAAATTATAGCTTTAGACAACGTTTCCAGAATTGCAAAGTTTAGTTTGGTTCCCAATGCATATTTAGAATCTGATTAATCTTGTGCTCATCAAAATAAGACCAGATCCGCCAATTTTACCTTTAGCAATGAGAAACGCATTATGTTTGCCTTTATGTTTCCGTTTGTAAGTTGCAGACTCGAATGAAAATAAGTGATTACCCTGAAAAGCTGAAAGGTCGTGCTATCACTCTCTCCTCTGGCATCTGCCAAGGGTCCCTTGAACCTCGACTGGCATCCTGAAAAATACACCACAATAAACAACCAGTAACATCATGTACCAGAGAGAAACAAGAAACACTAAAACAAACCCGTTACATCACAAACATGGAACAAACAATTTTCACATCGAGCCTCAAAGTTTCTACAAAAATCTTGGTATCGTTGTTTGATTTTTTTTTTTTTTTTTGTACTCTCAGCCGACCATTTCTTGGCTGTAGGAGAAAAATACTTACTGCAGTGGCTTGGAAGGGAACGGAATGACGAAAAATAGGCTCGATGCGGTTTGGATCATTGCTGTTGGTAGGAGCATAGGCACCATAGTCATGTCCAGATCGCCAAGTCGGCCAAAATGGTGTGTTATTATTAGCGCCACTGCTCATGATGTCTTGGCTCCCAGATAATGAGCAAAGCTCTGATCTGTTAATTTAATTATTGCGCTGGCTTCGGGACTGTGTGATTTTATAGAATTTATTCATTTCCTGCTCAAAGGACGGACGTTAACCTAATGAATATATCCTTGTTATCGTTTTAGTGGCTGCTTTGCATTGCTTCTTCGTTTTTGGAATCTGATGTAAAGCATGATTCTTCCTCCACTTCGCACAGATGCGTGCCCTCTCGTGATGCTTAAGATTGATGAAAGATTCAGCAGTTATGAAGAAAGGAATCCGATTCCAGCAATCTGACTATATATATATATATATATATATATATTTGTGAATAAGTGAATACATCTCCATAATATGCCGCTGGTGTTTTCTGGCTGCGTTGAACAATATCTTGATGTAACCTGCACTTTAGTACTGGTTCGTTTAGAAAAGTAGGCAAAATTCTCTTCTTATCTATTTTTATTTTCGAAATGGTTGCATTGCAAGGAAAAGATGGTTGTTTTCTCTATCCCACTGAAATCAATCAAGATTCCCTCTGCCCTTGGTACAAACTACCAAAAAGATTTTACCAACTGTGGTTTAAGCCGTCAGCTTCACCATGGATCCTTTTAAAATTTGTTAAGATGATGTTATTTGCGTACAAAATCAAATAAGTGGAGAGTATATCAGAATTAGGGTGTAGCCTATAAATTTGTACAACTCAAGCATACATTTATCCTACAAGTAATAAAGTAATTTAGTTTGCTTCACTTCAAGCATAAATTTATCCTAGCCTAGCATGCTGTGGGAAGGACAAGAATGAACATCAATGTTATATTGGCTACCCAAATAAAACAGCTTGATCTAGAATCTTATTCTACAAACTGAAACGGAGAAGATACAAAGAGTACAATCAGAAACATCAATACTATCAGAATAAGTATCAATAGCAATCAGAAACATTTCTTCATTCACCACTGATAGCCCAAAGCACAATCTCTTAATTCTGCTAGAAATGTCTTACTGCCGCCATACATGAAACCAAATAAACAAAGAGATACAAAGAGTTCACTAAATGGGCAGGTGCAACAAAGTAGAGCATCTTAAAAGGGTCATAGCGAGACAGAAGTGGTGTTCATCCACATCCAAGCATACACAAGTCTCGATAATTTAAAAGTAGCTCAAGAAATTAAAACCTGACAATGCAAATGCACAATTCCGAAGAGAAGTATGTGTTCATGTCTAGGAGAGATTCACCACCTTGCTTAAGCAGTTTGAGTTTATTATCAATTTCCAACTCCTCATAGCAGCGGATGCAGGTATGTAAGCAATGCTCAAAATTAGTCATAAAATCAATGCCTAGTTTGCAAAACAGCTTAGAACCACAATGCAGAGGAAAAAAAGCAACCAGTAAGTTACTGCACGATTGAAGTTGAAAATGAACAAGTCAAAATAATTAGAATTAAAGCCTTTATTCTCTGCTCTCATCTTGCAAGCCAGGCTTCTTGGTCTGCCAAATTTCCACTGAGTTTGATACATTGTTAAGCATACCTCGGCGTCCCAGCATAACAAGATCTAGAAGCTTTCTCCTCACATTGTAAACTGGATTTGGGTCAAGTAAATGACCCCTTTCATATGCTTCTCTTAGAAAAACAGTGTGTCTTTTTCCCTTGGTTGACAAATAAAATATCCCTGGGTGGTCGAGGAACAAATCCCTTATATTCAAATCAATGGCGAAAGATTTCCGGAAATGGCTGATCTTCTCCACCTCCACCATCCTCTCCACTGTCAAACTCAAGAATTCATGAACAATTGCAACTGCCCGTTTCTCTAATCCCATTATTCCTGTCTTAGACCTCTTCTTTTCTCCGATCTCCTCATAAGGACCCACATATGGCAACCTTTGCCATTCCTTAACCTTAGCCTTAAAAATCTTGCTCAATCTCATCCCCGGTGGATAGCCGTGTTTAAATCCATATTGAATTTCAGTTCTATCAACACTGCAGTCCTCCTTACAACACTCCAAAACTCGCCAATTCTCAACAGAGGCCGCAAAACTTTTAGCATGCATTTCATCAACCAGTTTCAAGATATGAGTATTAGGTTCATCTGCATCAGAAAGCCTAAATATGTGCGGGTTCCTAGCTATCACAGAGTCCTCAAAGTCATCTGGCAGCCCAAGTTCCCTCCAAACTCTAAACACTGCCCGGAGAGGCAATGATTTAGTTGTCGACATAGACAAAAGCCTAACTAAGCGGTCAACAGCAACAGGCAAAGAAGAGCTGATAGCATCTGCCTCTTGGCGGGAAATATCAATAGCAGCATCAGTCAATCTACAGAACGGCTGGGACTTATTGGGATCATAGAAAATGTGGAAAATATGAGGGTACTTGCGGAGAAAAGAGGCAGCTCCACGGTTTAGATGGAGATTTTGGGAGAGCCTGGAGAGAAAATCAAGGGAGACAGATGGTGGGTTATTAGTGGGATTTGCAAGGATAAGGTCTTGTATTGCAATGGCTTTGAGAAGGTTTTTGTACTTGTCCATTAGCTTCTCAAATGTAGGGTCTCTAGCTCTCGATGCTACATACTGGGCAGAGGATGTTTTGGATCGAATACCAATGATTTGGCATGGATTTAGTTGTTTCAATAACGATTTAAAGGTCTGGATTCGCATTTTCAAGCAAGAAATTAGCAACTGTTAATCTTTTTCTTACAGTCTCCTTCTAGTGGAATTGTGACAAACACGTAATAGGCAGAATTAGCCAAGCTGATCAGTTACTGATGCTTATTGCCAATACCGCCAACAATCAAAGAAATTAAGAACTAAACAAAGGATCAGGACTTTCTGTTTTTTTTTTTTCTGGGGACTCAAAGAGATAGATTTCCATCCGTGTTAAGGAAATTACGCAAGCCCACAGACTTGGAATGTGAAAATTGGAAAACGATACTCCTTGGGGTCGGAGGAGTGAACAAGCAATTGCTGTAGCATGCTGCGTACCAAAATTTGCGGTAACATCCAAATTTTCTAAACCAAGCAATATTGAAAACACACGCCCAAACAAACAAACAAACAAACAAAACAAAAATTTATGACCAGCGCGAGAGATCCAAAAACCTCAACCAGATGGGAGGCGTCTCTACAGAAAGAAAAATTAGGGAAGAGAGATGAATAAGAAGGGGAAATTTCGCTCTCCTTGTAAATTCAGATTAAAAGTACCTTTACTACAATTTTAATTATTTTTATTTAGTTTTTTTTAAAAAAATTGATAATAATACTTTTTAAATAATTTTAGATAAATTAAATGATATCAATTTTTGTTATCTCACCATTCAAATAAAAAACTCAAAAGTAAATCTTCATTTTTCTCTTTTGTCAATTTATCTCGCCTTTATCTCTCTATTCCAAAGAATAGAGATGTTTGGATTTATTGATTTATATTGATAAAAAAAACTTTAAAATTAAAAAGCTAAAATTAATTAGAAATATTTGTAAATTAAAGTATCATAAGATTTTGGTAATTTAAACTTAATTATGAACAGATAAATCAATTAGTTATTAAGTATTGTGAGATTGATTTTTAAATATTGCCTCATTGGTTCAACAAAAAGTTCAAAAGTAAATCCTCGTTTCACTTTCCTATTGATTTATCTTACCATTCTAAAAAGCAAAGATGTTTAGGGTTATTGGTTTATATTCATAGAAAAGAATCCCAAAATTGAAGAATGAAAATTGATTAAAAATATCTGTAAATTAAAATATCGTATGACTTTGGTAATTTAAACTTGACTACTGAAAAAAAAATCAATTAGTTATTAGACATTACAATATTGATTTTTAAGTATTACGTCATTGATTTTTAGGCATTGTGAGACTAATTTTAAATATTGTGTAGCTAGTTTTTAAGTAATACGAGATTAATTTTAAAATATTACTTAACTTAATCATTGCGTCTTTAGAACTTAAGCATTGCATGACTAACTTTAAATATTTCATGATTGTTGATAAGCACTACCACGTTAGCATGTCAAGTGACATGGCAATGCTATGTCAGCATTAAAACTCAAGTTGTTGACATGGTAGTACATGTCAACACGTGGAAGCCACGTGGCATGTTAAAAGGTAACCACATGACATGTTAAGAGATTATGACGTTACTCTCTTCCTCCAAAATATGATATGTTCTTACTAAGGTTTGAATCTATGACTTTTAGTAAGAACACTAAACTCCTTAGTATCATGCTTAAGCTTTTATTTTTAGTAATTTTTACTTTTATTTTTATTATTATTATTTTTTTAAATTACGTCGTTTGGGAATTTCCAAATCCCTAACTATAAAAGCATCTTTTCCTTATTTTTCCTTCCCTTCTCTCTTTCTACCTTTTCTTTTTCTCTCTCTCTCTCTCCTATAATTAGAGTTTTATAGTTAGGATTTTTAAGAGTGTAACAACGACGCAATTTTAAAAAAAAAATAGGAAAGAAAAAGAAAGAAGTTAAAACATTCTATCTTTGATTGAGATATAACAAGTGTGAGCATTCAATATTTTATCACATTTATAACTTTAAACAATTTTAATAAACAAATAACTGAAAAACTATAATTTTCAGCTTAATAGTTCAGCAACTAATAAAATAATTTTTCTACAACGTTACTAAATAATTTATTATCATATCTATATGTCATAATTGAATAAAATACCTATTAAAATGTAATAGATGTGAAACAATAAATCATATAACAATTTATTTATCTAATAAATAAATAATAAAATTAATTTTTAAGAACATATGTTTCATAAAAAATCAAAAATAGTTGGAAGATGGAATTAATATAACAATTATAAAATGCTAATATCAATTATATGTATTTTTATCCTTATCTTCATACATTTATATTAAAATTTAAAAGATATTACTTAATAATATTAACCTTTTATATTTTTTTACCAAAAAATTCTTACTGGTTAGTTTGATAAGATACGAATTATTTTAAAATCTTTTACAAAAAAATAAATATTAATTTTTTAATGTTATTTTGGTTGATATAACTTTTTATTTATACATGTCTGTATTCTCCTAAGCACATCTACACTGTCTACAAAGTTATCTTATAGAACTATGGATATGCTTAAGTGTCAAAATGTGTGCATTTAATGTTATTTGATGTGTTATGTTTACCAAAATCGATCATGGTGTTGCTTGTGGGTTCAGGAACCTATCTGCTAGACATGAAAAATTAGAGTTAGGTCCATCTAATAAACGATGACTTGGTTTATAAATTTTTAGAGTTAGGTTCGGAAGTACAGTTAGACATAGAGAAGGATTAATATCTTGAGACGTTCGTTCTATGAACAATACCATTTAATCATATGTTATTCTATTATAACCTAAACCATTGATTTTATTTTTATGTTTTCATAATTGTTGTTTATTTATTTTATTTTTTATTTTATTAGCAAATTAAAACATTTTGTTCGATTTTATAAGTGTGACGTGCGTATGATGCAATTATGAAATATATGATATAAAATCCAGATAATGCCAAATGAAAATTTGTTATTAAGGATATTTTTTCAATCCATCCATCATATTAGTGAGATCCAAGGATATTCTCTTTCTTAGTGTCCGTTTTGCTTGGGTTATATTTAGCTTATCTATTGCTTAAAAGTAAAAGTAGACCAAACAAGATTTAGTAAAAAGTTCTTTAAAAAAATATAGCTTTATTTTTTTAAAAAAAATTTAGAAAAAAAAAGCTTAAAAAAATGCTCCAATTAGGAGCTTTCTTTTTAAAAAAAAAAAAAATACGCCAACTTATTAGGAGAATTATTTTTTTTCCAAAAAATTCTCTCTCAAAAAATACTCCTCCCACTCTCCTTATCAATGTCCCTTTCCTCTCTTCCTTTATGCAAATCATCATTCTAATTTTTTTTTTATTCTTACAAAAATTAAGGAAAAACAAGATTTAAAATTCAAAACTGCATTCAAGTATTATTTCTTCTTTTTCTTTCTATTTTATTTTTAATTTTATTTTCTATCTTTTTTTTTGGACTTTGAAAACTTTTTTTATTAGTTGATATTTCTCAGTTTATTGTTTGATATGATAATTATGTAATATTTATTTATTTTTAACTTCTCTATGGTGTATATAATATTTGATGATTATAATTGAAATAATTAATTAAATAAGTCAATAGTTGTTGAGATAAATTAGATGAAAATTGAAATAATATTTGCTGATTATGGCTGTTGAGATAATATTATTTATGAAAGTGAACTTTGTCATTAAAGACATCAATAGCTAAATGTGATTTTCCTGAATTATTACTAGTTTGCTACCATCCTAGCTTTCTTTTCTTCTTTTTATGGGTTCTCCTCCATTGTTGGGATTAAGGGTTTTAGTAGTCGACTTATTGCTTTATTTCATCTTTCATGTTTTTTTATTTGATTCAATTTTTCTCTTGATTTTATTTATTTATTATTATTCAATAAAAAATTATTTATGAATTATGTGTTACTTATAGATTATTTATTTTTTAAATTTATTATTAATTATAAACTTTAGGTTACATAAAAATCTTTTTTATATTTTCAAAAAGTTATTTGAAATAGATAAAAAAATAAAGTTAATTTTTTTTATTTTGAACAAAGAAATTCGTGATTAATAAAAGTTTACTTATTAAATACCCTTTATGGTAATTTTAACTAAAATTAGAGTTTATATAAGTTGTTTTACCAAATAACTTATCTATAAAAAAGAGCTTATAAAATGTAAATATGCCAAATAGTTTTAATTTAATTTTAAAAACTATTATTTTTTATAAGAGCTTTATAACAATTTTTAAATTAAAAAAAAGCCATGCCAAACATACTCTTAGAAAATTGCCCAAGAAACTCTTCTTTATTAGTTTAATAAATAAATCTCATCATTAGGATAATAGTTTGCAAGTAAAAACAATATTTTCATGAATGCAATCTCTAACATGAGTAAAAGTCTTTTATTAAGGACATTCTTCGAGTCCTCTCATTATATTAATGGGATTCAAAAGTGTTCTTTCACTTAGGAATTTTTTAAAAGAACTCATCTTTGCAAGCTCTCTTGAAACGTCCCATCATCAAGACTTCAACTCATGCATACAATACGTTTACATGCCAATGACATTTAATAATGTAACGATGATGTGTAATGTGCCTATAATTTTCCATATTCATTCTTAACTTTCTTGCAACTCTTTTGTTATTTCTTTAAAAATTCTTTATCTTTGTATCTATCTCATGAAATATTATTTTACATTTATTATTTTCATCTAACTATATTTTATTTTATTTTATATTTTTTATATTTAAGTATTTGTCTATTTTTACAATATATATTTTCCTTTTACCTAAATGCTATTATTTAACCAAATGTTTTGTTTAAGAATCATTATTACTTATGTATATTTTTTATAACTCAACTTCTTTCTTAAATTTTTATTAACCTATGATATTTTCTTTTTGACTAGTTATTCTATTATTTTTATATATTTATTATTATTATTTTTATCAAAATTTAAAATTAAAACCCTCAAATCATATTGATGGAGCTCTAATCGAAATCCCTTACCTAAAAAAATTTATTCAAAAATGTGATTTCTCGCTTTCTAAATAAATATTCAATCATCGGTATAATTTAGTATTCTCTCCATTAGTACTACCATATGCGTACGTATATTAACTACGAACCCTAAATATTACTTCCTTTCTTATTCTATTTCCTACTATTCCTATTTTTTATGACTAAATATTTACTTTTTATATTTTAATTCATTATCATCATTATTTTATAACCAAATATTTATTTACTTTA